TGTGCAACCGGGAACACCAGTCCTGACACCTGCCACATAGTCAATAAGGAATTTTTTGGCACTATCCGCCAAATTTATACCAAAATAGTGAATCGACTATGCGCAAAATCTCCTCAAGGAAGGTCTTCTCCTAACGATGCCAATATAAGATTACTCCCCTATTAGAACAAACAAGGATTTTTTAATAAGAATAAGAAAATGTAACTGAAATCGAAAAATAAACATTATCATTGTGCATTAATAAATTTTGAGCCTTAAAGTTGATAAATAATCAGCTAAATAGCAATTTTTCAGCCCAATAAGTCGTGTACAATCCTACTTAGTTCCAGAACTAGATGTCCCTATATAAAGAATGTAATGCTGCTCATTTTGCTGCATTTCTGAAAAACTTTTCCTTATTCTTAGGCAAGTGTTCACAGTTATGGTATGATAAGTAACGGCCATTAGAAGGTCGAGTCAGAAGTGGACGGTTCAGGTACGGCGGTGGCCGAAGTGGATTAAATTAGTAAAAAATTTTTTGCGGCCATGGGAACAACTTTGAAACAATTAATACAGTGTGGACAGAACCGAACCGAAAATCTATTTCAGAGCTTCTTGGAAGCGTCCTCTGATTTTCACTTCACTTTTCAAAAAGCAGTATTTTATCCGTGATTGCGAACTCTAACAGCAACACAGTCGCCAACAGCAGGGATAATCCCTGTGATGTAGCCAAACAATTGGGCTCATACTGGCCATACTTTGGTTCTTCCGGCATGCAATAGAACAGGCATCGGTTGGGATGAAGGTGTTGCGTTACAGAGCCATATGGGTTTGCAGGTACATGATTACCAGTTTTTTGCTTGAAGCTCGGTTGTTTTTTCAGTAAATGCTAGCTTTTTGGAAAAAATGAAAATGCACATTTTTTGAAAAAATGCAAATTTCCTGTTCACTAAAAAGTGGAAGCAGTGGTCGAGCGGAATATGTTTAACAGCAAACTTACTGAGCAGTGTATGCATAACTGACAATTGCTTCGAAGCAATCATAATCGGCATGAGCGAATTCATAATAGGAGAGTGCCGGCCGTTGCTGTGATGTTGGTGAAGCGGGGCCGTGTGGAGTCACTGTACCAACAGTATTCGTTGGCGACAGTTTTGATGCATTTGGCGAAGGCTTCGGAGCCTGTGTTGATGGTGACTGCGAACCTGGACCTGGAACAACGAAGATGCAATCCGGGAAACGGGCTTTTGAAGTGGATACTTGAAATTCATGTATCGTACTCAGCAATAAAATAATTGGCCAGCGCACCGACTGCCAAAGCAAAGGCGAGTTTTTTGCACAATCCCCCGCAGGTTTTTGTCGCTAAAGACACTATTTTTTCCTGCAGATGCTTCTAGCTAAAAGAACTGAGACTGGCCAACAGAACAGTCAGAAAACATCCCTTTAAAATTTCAGTTTTCTAGCTTCTTTGGTTCCGAGTTAGCAATTTACCTGCTAAAAACTTCCAGGGGCCCGTACGTGGGAACTATGTGTGTAAGAGAACCCATTTTGGAGGCGGGGCCCGAACGTGTGTAGAGATCAAATTTTCAAAGTTTCAGCTTTGTAGCTTTTGTAGGTTTCGAGATGGAAAATCAGTACAGACGAACACACAGACCAAACAACCC